AACTGATTGTTTGACGATTATACATAGTGTCGTTATTCGGTGTGTGCACGACCGATCCCTACGGAATCCGGTCTGTTGATCTCGAAGTTGGGTGTCTGCTGAATCTTTCATCCAGTGCAACAACACTATCGTAAACTTTTCCTGGTACTGATAGTAGTGTGATACCTCTGTAGTTCTCACATTTGCTCAGATTTCGTTTCTTTGGTACCTTGATGAGATACCCTTCTTTCCAGTCAGTCGGTGGCACTTGTTCCTCCTCTCAAATCTTTGTGAATAGAAGGTGAAGCATGTTTGCAGTTAATTTTATGTCTGACTTCAGTGCTTCAGCTGGTATATTGTCAGATCCTGCTGCTCTCCCACTCTTGATTTGTCTGATGGTCGTCCAGATTTCTTCAATCGTTGATGAAGTGACATCTATTGGAAGGTCTGTGTGTGTTGATTCGATATCCGATGGATTCAATGAAGCTTGTCTCTTCAACAGTTCCTCAGGGTATTCTGCCCATCTGTTCCTTTGTTCTTGAATCTCGGTGATTGTTTTGCCTTCTTTGTCCTTGATCGGTCTCTCTGATTTACTATATTTCCCTGCTGGTTTCGTCGTTGTATCATGTAGTTGTTTCATATTTCCTTCTCTTGCAGCTTTTCCCCCGTCGTTTCTAGTTCTTCTACGTATTTCTGCTTGTCAGTTCTAATGCTCTTCTTCACTTACTTCTTTGCTTCCGTGTGCTCACCTTGTGTCTTGACTTTCTCTGCTACCGTTCCGCTGTTGTTATTTTCTGTGTTGTTCTTCTTCGTTTCTTGAATCGTGTTTAGGGCTCATAGAGGCCCATTCGTTTTGATGATGCTTGTTGCGGTCGAGCACTTCCTGACACGTTGAAGTTAATGCTTCTTTGATCCCTGTACAGTCGTCCTCCATAGACGTTTCTTCTTCTTTCACTCGATCCTGTATGGCTTGGAATCTATTGTTGAGAGTTATCTTGAATTCGTTTTATTTGTCAGCATCTCGAAGGAATGCTGTATTGAACCTTTGTAATACTGTTCCCCATGTTGTTCAGTGCTTCTTTAGCTTTAGTTTTACCTTGCCAACCATCAGATGGTGATCTGAATCTATATCAGCTCGTCACCTGGTTCTCACGTCATCTATTGTCGTGCTGAATCTTTTATTGATATAGATATGATCTATCTGGTTCTCTGTGGTGTGATGCAGTGAGACCCATGTAGCTTTCTGTATGCGTTTGTGTTAATATTGTGCCGCCGATAACTCCCATCAGGATGGTGAGGTTTTTTCTTAGGCACTCCGCTATGATCGATTGCAACCTCTCATAGAAGTGATCTTTATTGTCGTTTTTGCTATCAGTGGTGGGTGCACAAAATCGGATAACATTCATTGTGATTCTGTCGTTCTTTGTATTGAAGGATGCTTTGACGATTCTGGATTCATGGGATTCCTACACAATAAGTTCATTTCGTGTTTCTTTAGACAGCATCAGAAGAATTCCCTGAGTGTGTGAACATTTTCTTCATGAGTAGTGTACAGCAGCATCTCTAAACGTTTCTATCTAATTTGCGTCAGTGAGTTGTACTTTTTCTGGGCATTGTCAAGTTGTATCTCCTTATTTCCACAGTATTTGACTGGTCCTTATTGTAAGATCCAAACTACGTTTGGACTGCTGGACAGCTGTCTGGATGAGTTAGATACGCGCCCTCGCCCGATTGAAACCAAAACAAGTAATTGGGTAAGATAGCGGTTCTATAATTTATCATAAATTTAAGTGTACATTATTACCTAAACAAATATAACCACTCAGCTATCCAACCAATAATTGTTCAATTGATCAAATCAATCACAACAAATAAAGGCTATTCTATCCCGTCTGGATAGACCACGTACAGATCCGTTCAAAAGGTAATAATTGGTCGCTCTGTAACACAGTGTTTTCAATTCTGGAAGAGTGCTTCACTTCACAACCAAAATGCACAATTCCAGTCAACATAGGTCAAGCAATCAAAGCAGGAACAAACCAAAATGGCTGCCGCCAAGACTAAGTGTCAAGTAAAACAACATAAGTGCAGTTCGGGAAGAAACATAGGAAATTAGTGAAGGTGTAGTAAAAACGAGAACTATAGTAAAATACAAATATTAACAATTCAAATGTAGCCAAAAAGTTAACAATGTACAACTAAGGGGATCAATAGGAACAAAGTGCAAGTAAATACATGGAGGGATTTTCACAAACACACAAAGCATTCAAAATGGATCTTACACTTATATTCTGTAACATTGTCCAAACATTTCGTGTACCTACAGTATTTGTTGGTTTGGTTTTTAAAAGGGGCATCGTCTTCATGACTTTCCAAGAACCTTGGCTTTCATCATGAGGCAACACAATTCTTCTGAACACAGGTCCTTTGACTCTGAGGGCAGAGTTCAAATGGTTTGGTTCGTTTATTGTGGTTAGTGTTTCTTAGCACGTTTGGTGTTGCTGACCAATGTGGTCTTTTCAGGGACCAAAATTAAGATTTCACACGCTTTCCCTATTCATACTATCAGGTATTTTCCCGAAGCCAAGAGAGTCAATATATTGTGATGAGTTTCATTCAACTAATTGTCCAAAGATGATCCATAGAGTCTCTATTTCGTCAGTAACATCTATTAAGAGGTCTGTTTATTGTTCCGATGTCTGATTTGTTCAGTAGACCTGATCGATTGACGAGTCATTCAAAATCTTTTTACTTATCTGTTACGCTGCTCTTGAGATTAAGTGATTGGTTTCAACTCTTTTTTCTTGACTGGTCTCTCCAGTTTACCTTATATCCCTCCTGGCATACTCGTTGTGACATATAATTAGTTACGTCTTTTGCTGCTTTATTCGCTGCCATTTTTAGTCATCCACATGGTTCCGCTTATCAGTTTTGATGTTTCCGTTTACTCTATTATTCGACCAGTGCCTTGCCTTTTCTTCCCTTGTTTGACTTCAGTGTTCGTACTTTCCCTCTCTCGAAGCCTGGCAAGTGCACAAACACGAATACAGTCAACATCCAGGTGCTTCTTGCAGCTCAACACATCCTAGCAATATTGAAGTGATCGCTACATTAATGTAGTTCCAATTTTTTTATAACATTGGTTTCCTCTTTTCCTAGATCTTGTAAAGCCTGGAGCTAGTTACTGAGATCCATTTTGAATTCGTTGAGTTTATCAGCATCTAGAAGGAACGCTGTCTTGAACCTCTGTAATGCTATTTGTTCGGCTGTTCAGTACTCCTCCAGTTTGAGCTTCATCTTGGCTACCACCAGGTGATAATCTGCAGCTATAGCAGCACCTCCCCTTATCATACAATCATTTATGAGCCTAAAATGTTATCGATGTTGATGTAATTAGCATGGTTTTTCGAAGTGTAGTTCGGTTAAACCTATGTAGTTTTGTGTGTGCATTTGTGAGGGTCAACGATGTACTTATAACTATGCTGCGGGAAACCCAATGACATGCAGTTCTCTAACCCTTCTCATCCCTTCTTCCAAGCCCATGTAGTCCCTTGGCATATTCATACACGATGTGTTCCATCCGATCCTAAGATCTAGGTACCCCGTCAAGACTGTCAGACATTTCTCTAGGCGTTTTTCCCACGACTGACTGCAGCCTCTTACAAAATTGATCTTTATTGTCTCCCCTTCTATAATTGGTTTGGACAACACACTATGTGACATTCATTTTAATCCATTACTTAACTTTATAACATTCTTTTGTGATCATAGAGCCATAAGATTTTCACCCTACAGACGTTTTTCTAATTTTTTTATAGATCATTATGCCAAAGACAATTTCTTTATGACCACAATACAATAGCAACTCTTCCAAAGGTAATCTCTTCTGTCTAACTTCATCCCAATGGATTCCACTTATTCAGAGCACCTATATGTCGTATCTTTACTTTCAACAGCTAATTGAATGTTATATCCAGTTTCCCATATTGTGTGAACATTCTATGCACCTATATATAATGTCAATCTGATTATCAGAATTGGAATCGGCCTCATGATTTTCGAGATGTAAAAGCTATTGTAAATGAAGACCCTTCAACTCCCGGTGCCGAGCTTATACGGTCTAAGTGATTTTTCCAGGTCTTTGATTTATAGCAAGGTTTGTTCCACTGGATGGTGTTGCTGCAGTGAACGAGAACACCAATGGGGACAACCAAATGTAATTTAACTCAATATTACAAAATATCTTGATAAAATCTGAGAACTATACAGTAACAATTCATTTTCGAAATATCCATCAATTGTCTCAGACTTCATTGTTCCATCCTCTGTTTTCGTTCTCTTCTCTTTCATCTTCCTAACCTTCTGCCAGTTGGTGATACATATCACTTATGTCTGTCAACATCAGTAGCACACACTATATTGCTAGCCTCTTGCCTTTTCCTTGATTCTGACGAGGACCGGTGAGTTGTTTGACACTCAGTGAATTAACTGCCGGATGATTTGCCTAAGCCTCAATAACATTTCACTGGCCCCAGAAGGGGTTGAAGCGAGGCCGAAAGTGCCGTTATTCGGAACAGTTTAGATACTATGAGTTTTTGTGGTATAAAATTATTCAGAAAATTTATAACTATTAACGCCGTGGACTATTTTCGGCCAGTATTAGTGTAGTTTTCGAATAATTAATAAGTCTTATCTAATGTGTTTCTCTACTATAGAATAGTAAAAATATTTTGTGTCATATCCACAGGAAGCCACGAAATCAGTTTATGAAATTTAGTCAAAATTCCTATGATAAAGAGTGAATACACTGAATCCATATTTCTTAGAATTTAGATGGCAAATGAGAGAACTAAGAATAATCTGCAACGCCATAGATACCGTGACTATAAATTGAAAGATTCGCTCAAAATCCGTCTTAGAACAAACAAAAACGATATATTTAATTAAAAATAACTTTATTGTATCCTGTCCATAGCTATGTGATACGTAGTAGCTTAAGAAAAATATTGGGAATTGAAGGGCGGTGATTGTGATAGCTAGTGTTCGTAGAAGGTCGAGCAATGTACTTATAGTTTCGTTTCCGACATTGTCATTATCTGAGGCTTGTGTTACCGCTGATTGTTGTTTTCTGCTTTCCTTAAAATGTAAGTGCACTATTGGTGCCTGATCTATCTCCTAGTGAACTTTTATTCTTCTTCCCATCTCTCCTCACCCTATTCGGCATCCTCCCCTAGTGTATTGTATCATCTGGTTAGACACAAACTGCTACACGTTTTAAGAATTGTTTGGACTGACTGGATGATAACTCAACCTTTCAACCTGAGTGGTCCTAGTTTATCTCACTGAGGTTCAACCCACACTGATTTTTCTCGACAGTTTGCGTACGATATTGTCAAACAACATGCCTAATAACATCAGAGAAATCGCTAGAAACTAACGGACAGTCTTCTCGTTTGCAACCCACCAGTTCACACGCTACCTTGTAAGTGATCAAAACGCATGACTGCTCTTCATAATTACTTGACGTGACATTGATATCAATTACTACATTCATATTCTCAGATGCAAATTATCATAATATGAGAGAATGTCTATTAGGATTTCAATGAACCGTAAATGTGACAGCTAGTAGCCGCATACCACTACCACTCATTTTTTCCCCAGCTAGCCGTGAATTTAGGCAAGATTATTCGATGTATCAGTCGTTTTTCGAATCTACTATAAGTGATACTCTAAAGATCATTCCGAAGGAAGTACGTGGCAGTGGTGTAAACCTATCACCCAAAAAAAGATCAACCTGGCAATGAAATTTTCATGCCATCACATGACTCAGTTGTATTCATCATTTGGTGATCGTTGTTTGAATGATTAAAGCCTAGATTATTTTCTCAGGATCAGTGAAACTCTATACCTTTACTAATCTAGGACTTTTCTCGAGTAGTTGTATCATTGCTTGCTAAGGTATTATTTTCTATTTCACGACTAAGTTTTCCATTTTATTCATTTGTATTTCTAACCATATTAATTATTCGCTTCAAATCGCTCTTGTCTGCGCTTCTTTGTTCAAGTAAGCTACGAGAAAATACTAGAGGCTAATGGAAGCTGTTGCTAACTATCCATTTACTCCTACTGAACCTGACGAACTTGGGTTTGAAAAAGGTAGTACTTTATATATTATTGATATGGAAGAGGATCCGAACTGGTATAAAGCCCGACAAGGGAACCAAGAAGGCATGGTACCTGCAAACTATATTTCTTTGTATCCTCATCCATGGTACATACCCAGATGTAGTCGGCGAGAGGCAGAGGCCAGACTTTTAGAAACTGATCCGAATACGAATCGGGACGTACAACCTGATGGAGCATTTATTTTACGGCAAAGCGAAAATGATCCTGGTCAGTTCAGTATCTCGGTCAAGTAAGTTAACGATATATATATATATATATATATATATATATATTACTGTTCGTTTTGTTGACTTCTAGGAAGTCATCGGAAAATCGTATTTAAGCTATGGGACAACTAACTTCATAGGTGCTTTGCAAGACGTTTGTTCGAAATTGCTCTTTTCTCTGCGATATAAAAGTTATTATATTCAGATCTTATGCTTGTTCATCCCATCCTTCCTTTTTTAGTCAGCGACTATACAATGATTAAGTTTCTGATTCGAACTCCGGGAAACGAGGTAGTATCACTAGCCCTCACACTCAATCCAAAGTACGTAAATATGTACCTAGCCAGTTAGTTAATAAAAAGCGTTTTGTTATTTTGCTCCTGTGTTTCAGAGTTTAACAGTCTAAACTGTTCCACTACTACGTAGAACTGTGTTCCGTTGACTGGTAGTTTGTCAAATCGAAATTTCCAAAACAGGTTAAAAGGAATCACGAACTAGATTTCGACATAACTACTATCTTTATTAGAGTCCATATACCATAGCTCATTTAGGCATTCAACGGTACTTTGCATCGTGTTTATTCAAAATATTTAATATATTTCATTCTTATGTACCTTACAGAGAAGGTTCATCGGTTTTGCATTTCCGTATATTTTTCGATCCAAGTGGTAAGTATTACATCTGGACGAATAAATTCGACTCAATCAATGCCCTAATCGATTATCATCGTCATCAAACAATATACGGGGTAAAAGCACTCCTACTACGTGATTGTGTTTCAAGTAATGTAAGTTATGTTGGGCATAATTTCTTATCCATTGGAACCTGTTCTTGTATATTTGCTATTATATACATGTACGCAAGTCCATCCTGATTCATTTCCCAGCACTTTTGATTCTCTTAATCTACACTAGTGCCCCTAAAATTAGAAATAAATTCAGTTAGTCAGTAACAACGTAGAACTTCGTACGTACGTAAATCAGTTCCAGTTACCATACCACATTAGCACAGAGATACAATTTTCTATTCAAATCCCATAGTGGTAGAGGTAGTAAAAGTATAAGCGGTAATCGGAAACAGGGTTTGAAGATGTTATTCAAGGAGTATTATCCAGTGAAATAAATTTGGAAAGATAAAAAAAAGAAAGGGACATGAAGAATTCAGAAGATTAGAATTTGGGAGAACACATAGTGGATGCACCTGCGCCATTGCAAACGATTTTGAACCATGTCATTCAAGTTGTCCAGCCATTGGTTGCTATCATCTCGCGGATCCCAACCAGGTAGTCTAAACCTACCAACATGACTCCGTCCACTTGTCAGTGACTTCATGGATTTGTGCCATGTTTTGATCTGGCCGCCCCTAACTTTCTTCCAACCTACTCCTACACCATGAAACATCCCACGTCGAGGCAGTCGGTCGTTGGGCATACGTAACACGTGTTTGAGCCATTTCAACTGATGAAGTTCCACTAATTCATCAATTGATTTGCCATCCATACCTAGTACCCGCTTCCTAACAGCTGCATTACTTACCCGATGGTCCCAGAATATACAAGCAATGCTTCAAAGACAGCCTACGAATATCCTCTACTTTTACCGGCCATGTTTCACTGCCATAAATTAGGACAGCGCGAACTGCTGCGCAGTAAACCTGTCCTTTGGTCGGTAGACGGATATCTCGCCTATGTCATAAATGACGCAAGTTGGCAAAAGCTAGTCGAGCCTTCTGTATTCGTGCTGAGATTTCCTCACACACCAGACCACAAGGGCTAATGAGACCTCCCAGATAAGTGAAGCGGTCGACACGCTCAATTACTTCACTCCCAATCATGAAGCAACATTTTGCATTTCGAGGGAGAGAATCGCATCCTGAACATGCTTGCATTGTTGCTTAGAGTGGTCAGAAGACTGCATTTTGTCAGCGTGCTTCACTAAATAGAACTATGTCATCAGCATATTCTAAGTCAACAAGTGAATCTCCCGGTAGAAGTTCAACCCCTGGAAATTTAGATGAGGAGAGTGTTATCTCTAATAGTACGTCGACCACAAAGTTGAACAACAATGGGGAGAGTGGACAGCCCTGACGAACACTACTTGAGGTAATCAATTCTGATGACAGTTCGCCATAAGCTCTCACTCTACCAGTTGTGTTCGAGTAGAGAGCCTTTATAAGGTTAATGTACTTCTTTGGTACTCCTTTCAATGACAAACACTGCCATAGAACCTCACGATCAACCGAGTCGAATTCTGCCTTAAGGTCGAGAAACAATAAGATTGTGGGGCGTCTGAATGTGTGTCTGTGTTCTAGGACCTGACGTATTGTGAATATCTGGTCTATACAACCACATCCAGGTCGAAAACCAGCCTGATTTTCTCTAGTCTGCTCTTCACGAGCTTTGGTTAGGCGTCGAAGTATTATTGAAGCGAATATTTTAGACACTATATTAGTCAAACTGATTCCTCTGTGATTGTCACAAGGGGACTTTTGTCCTTACTTATAGACTGGCACAATCAGTGATTGAGACCAGTCAGATGGGATTACGTCCAGTTCCCAAATTCTACCTAAGACCTCAGTCAATCTCACTGCTAATACTGGACCGCCACCCCTAAAAATCTCAGGAGTAAACCTGTCAGATTTCCAATAGCTTTTTCAACTTCATAAAGAGTTGGAGGACTTATATTAACTTGCCATCCAGGTTGACTGGAGATCGTGGGAAACCGAAGTGTGGCTGAAGGCCAGTTGAACTGATCCATAAAGTGTTCTGCCCATCTATCCAGTCTCCTGGATTGAGAGTGAATAATACGTCCATCTTTTTCCGAGATTGTTTCGCTAACAGTTGGATTCCTAATAACGGTTTCCTTGACAAGTATGAACAGCTGTGTTGTTACCTATTACTGCTGCCTTTTCCATCTCTCTTTTTTTCGCTACCCACCAGTGTTCGCGATCATTGCGTAGGCTTCTTGTCAGCCTTCACTTAAGCTGACTCTGCTCTTCATCATGTTGAGAGCCAGATGGGATTAGTTTTCGAACATCTACCAGTGCGGTAGATGCTGCTGAGATACAGTGTTTCTTCCTAACCTTATGGTTCACTTTACTAGAAAATATCACTGCTGTTTCCACAGCTTTTCGGATATCATTCCAAGCTGCCTCGGGGTGGGCATCACATACATGGCTGCCTAACTGCTTTTCTAGTTGTTCCTGAAATATATTCTTAGGTTGACTATCATTAAGTAGGACCATAAGAGGTTTCCTTGCAGCGTCTTTCCGGCGTCCAGTAAGAAGCAGAAAATTACGCGCCCGCACTAGAGCATGATCTGAATCCAGGCATGTGCTTCAGAATGAGTGACAGTCTTCTATGGAGCCCCTCCATCGGTGGCTGGTAGCGATGTGACATAGTTGGGTCCAGCGTTGGGATGAACTCGGGGGTCGCCATGCCAAAAAAATGTTTTTCCTAATGCTTAAAGTTAGTATTTGCAAGAAACAGGTGGTTATTTGAGCATAGTTGCAGATACTGGTTGTACGTAGATTGCTTTCATATCGCGATACTATGCCGCCATCGAACTAATTCTAGGGTTTATAAATTGTGTTTAGTATGGAGGCTGCTAGGATGATGTTTGTAAGACATTTTTAGTTTATCAAACTAAGTGTTTTGAAAAGGTTACGCCATTTATCATTACTATCTCTAAACCAATTTTTAAGGATTTCTGGATTACTTTTAATCAGAATCAACCAACCCGGTCAAAGAACTACCGAAACACATGAACTTTTTGACAGTTTCCGGTTTCATTAGATAAGGTGAATGAAAACCTAGGTTCCCACTAATCTCAGATAGGTACTTTGCGTTTTGACGGTTCAAAAAGTATAACTTACCTAAACTGAACGCCAATTGATTTAGTGCAATGTGATTTGCTTGTGTATCATTGTTCAGTAAGACAGTACCATCTGAACGCAGACAAGACGCCTAAAATTCGTAGGTCTGTGGCGTATACTACTTATGTTTGGAGATATGAAGAGTATATAACACCAATTAGAAGTGGAATGCTTGTCAAGAGAATTCAAATGGGCAGGTAGGTCGACATTGCTACGGAGGTCAGCGCACCGGCGGACTGGACACTTTAACATGGAGCGTAGCACAGACTTTAGCAAAGAAGGAAGTGGCACGGCGAGGAGAACAGCCGAATGAGTGACCGTTTAAAAACGAGACGAGTGTGGTTTATGCTATTTATGTTGACAGATATAAGTAGCATATAACACCAGTCAGAAGTGGAATGACTCAGGAGAAAGTTGAGAAGAGAGCGGGAATGAAAACAGAGTAATTGTAATACAAACAGAAATGAAAGAACGATGTTTGTAAGCGAAACTTGATGGAAGATGTGCAAATGAGGTATTTAATGTATGGTTTTCATATTTTATGAAGACACTGATTTTTCATTAAATAATAAATTGGTCTTTCCCACCTGAGTGTTCGTTCACTTCGGATCTACACAATTATATGCATCATTCAGAGCTGCTTTCAGTATATGATCGGCAAAACAACGCAGTCCTACCTAACCTCACTATTGGATTAGAACTATGGGGATTACTGATTGTATCCCTCCACTTTGGGCTTCTGTTAATCTGTAGTCTGTCATTCTCTTCACTACTGTGTTAGTTGAAGCATTTCTCCATAAAAACAACCAGTGATTACATGTGAATAGAACGTAGACTAGTTAGAATAAAGATCACTCCGCGTTCATAAAAAACAATACCATCAGTCAAATAAGTGACCGTATCCATACTAACTTTTTGTTTGTTAAAACATATTCATTCTTGCCCTTGTACTCAGTTGCTACTCGTAACTATCCTTCCCGAAAATCTTTCTGTCACTTGAAACTGAGCAACAACAATATTTCTGATTCACTTTCTGATCTTATTTTTACTTGTTGTAAGAATTATCAGTAGTCGCATCAACTGTCGAAAGTTTCTGCTACAAATTTTATCATTTCAAAACTAAATTCGCACCAGTAGCATCTTTCAGGAATGTTTCCTTTACGAGAAAAAGAGATCGTCAATATATCAGTAATGTAAAGGAAGATTTATAAAAACCATCATTTGTATTGTTATGATCAACACCATGTATATGTGCTTTCTAAGACTGCTTATTACGTAGTACGATTTAACAAATTCAAATTGTTTGTGTAGTCACAACAGGGTAATGTAATTCATTTATAATGTTCTGGTTTATGTACTCAGCTTTGAGCCACATGTTTCTGATGTATGGGATAATTGTACTATCCATCTCCCCAAAACGAAGTACGTAAAGTGGGGTTTGAACCTGCTACTTACTGTACAATCATAACTGACTAAGCTTCACTATTGTTATCTTTAAGTGTTATAAATAATTTATACCCCTAGTGATAAGAGGTAGTCAATAGGAAATCTTAGGATTGGGTTTCGTACCAATTGATAGATGTTAAATTGAGTTATATACAGTATTTGAATAGGCGATCCTCTCTGTGCAGTCCGAACTCGTGTCAACAATTGTTACAGTTGAAAATACCTTAAATTGATGTGTAAAACCCCATTATCACATACGACTAATTAAAACTAAATAGCGACTGACTACTGTAAATACTGTATGTAGTCTTCCGAGCTTCAAACTTGATAGAATTATAAATCAAAGACGTCTTTCTGCATTCTAACATACACTGCTGCTGTATAGTCTTAACGGTGATAATAGAAAGTTAAGGAGAGCTATATTTTCATTTTTTGAGAAGTGAGGTGGTTATCTGCTTTTAGTAAATGGAATCCAAACTTTGTTGGCGCTATAATCTGATGATGAAGCATTGCTACAACTGTTTTAATTAGGTAAGCAAAATGGCATATGGCATGGGATGTGGAGTTATGCTTTATCACCAAACCGCATGTCCTAACAGATGCCAGTAACTCGTCAAATCAATTTGATAATATTAAGATAAGTAATAATCTACGAAGGTAAGTGAAGAAAAATAAATAAAGCTTTTAAGGAGATTAAATTTCAGTCATATATTTAATTTTAGTCAAAAAACTATTTAAGTCCTAAGAGCACTGGAAAACTGTCTCGCCACATAATGACACTCGTTAACAACGCTTGTAGAAACCCTGCTAAAAATAGGAAATATGGTCTTCAGACGTCTTAGCCACCAACTAACCTTCAGATTATAGGGTTGGCTATTGAATTTTTGCAGTTGTGACTTCAGTGAATTCGCGCGATCATCCATTACCATCACGAATCAAACATAGTGCCCTCAGGCCTCACACTGCAGTTTGTGAGCAGTTGATTTGGATCTAAAGACATAAAAAATATTTTATTCTAATGAATTTTTTGTTACTTCCAAGTGTGCGAAGTGAAGTGTATACATTAAACATTATTGTAGTAAAGGAGAACACAAGTGGAGACAACCGAATGTATTTGAACGCAATATTACAGAACATTTTAGTAAAATCTGAAAACCATACAGTAAATACTTGACTTGCAAAATGTCAGTCAATCGTCTCAGACTTCACTGTTTCTCTTGCAAAATGTCAGTCAATCGTCTCAGACTTCACTGTTCCTTCATTCCCACAGCAATCATTCTCTGTTCTCGTTCTCTTTTATTCGATCTTATTAACCTTCTGCCTTCGGGCATTTCACATGCTACTTATATCTATCGACATCAGTAGCACACACCACAAAATCTGTTAACTTTCGGTTTTCGGCCTGTAACATTAAGATTCATTTCTATAAACATTTAAACAATGAACCCTTAAATTTGGACTATTATATGCAATCCGGTTTCTCAACTATAGTCATGAATCTAGCTCTTCAAATTTATTTCATTCGGGTAGTAATTTGTCATCAACTATTTATGTGGAAACCTTTACTATTTATTTAAAGTCTATTAGTATTATTAACTAATATTCACCGATTTCAGTTGTAAATCCAAGTGTTTTTCGTTCCGTTGTTTTAGATATTTTTTAGATTTTTCGGTTTTGATCTAAATTGTAGGAATATGTGTATGAGACTTCTGAGAGTTGACTTAGAACATACTGGATCAGTTTCACTATACCAACTGATTGTATGCCCACCATTTCCTACGTAACTGTATCATTAAATTCTTGTTTATAACATTTCGTAATTATAGTACTTAAGTTGGTACCTAATGAACAGGTTTAAAACACAAATATAAAACAATCCTAGTGTTTGCAAAGGATATTAACGATTATACCGACTAGATTACCTCTATATTTAGTCTGGATACTTCATACTTAGCTTTTAAACCAGTCATACATTCGTTATTTTTACTGCTGTATCGCTTCTTATGAGTTTTCTACGCAAAAAGAAAAACCCCATAAGATTTATTATTTAGTGGTCTGTTTGTAATTTTCAGACTTTTGGTTCAGTTGGTTCCGGTCCTAATGTGGTTTTTAATAACCCTAGCGTTCACACAAATACTTCTATCAAGGGTTCCCAACCACAGGCTACCGTTGGTTCACATTTACATACTAAAGAGCACCCTGCTCAAATGAATGTGGATTTACCTCCTGGAGTGGTATTAACAAATTTATCGGGACGACAATGTGTAGCCAAGTTTGACTTCAATGCTGAGTTTCAGGAGGAAATGTCATTTCGTCAGGGAGATCGTCTTCGACTGCTTGGTGAAGAAGATGAGAATTGGTGGTTTGCTGAATTGATAACTCATTCTTCTAGTGGTCAACCAACTTCTCAAGGCTTAATTCCTGCTAACTATGTCAAACTCTTATCAAATAATACGTCCAGTTCCACAGTTTCTAACATGCGTAGTAATCCTTCTAAAGTTCCACAACCCTCTGCTCAGATCGCTCGTGCTACTTAACCTCCTTTGTATAAGTATAGTTGCAACGCCAATATATGTACACTACCTTAATATATTTGATGAATCAATTTGTCTAATTTCCACAGTTTTTGTGTTTATTTTTATCGTTTTTATCTGCTTTTGTGGATGAACTTTCATGTGATAACTATATGGTAAGTGATAGAAACTCATGCTCATCTCAGTGAATGATTCGAAGCTCAATCTGGATTTTCTACTTACCGAAAGTTCATAATACGATCGGTTTCCTGTCAGCAAATTTCAGTTTAAATCTCAGAGTTATTTGAATGTTTTTTTTAAATGAAATAAATTGTACTACTGAGACTAATTGGTCATCTTATTACCCTTAAGTTTCGTGATTTGTATTTTTTTTTCAGAGTCGAAGCGTTGCTTTGGTTTTGTTTTTCATTGTATTTTTAAATGAAATATTAGTTTCTCTGACTGATCTACGTTTGCGAATATTTATGTATGTGGGCTAAAATGTTTCCGATGTATATATTTGGTTTTAGGTTATGTCATTGTTTAGTGCATAATTATCCGTGTATATTGCTATTATCAACATACGCACATTCTCTGTAGAAATTTTTTTCTATAACAGGCCAATAAATAGTAGTTGTATATCAAACATCCAAAGTTTCTTCAGCAAGTTCACGTCTTTGTTTCGTTGTCTGATATACCATCAATTATGACTACCTCTGTTGTATGGTTTTTTTACAGACTGTTAGAACTAAATTTTCTTTCAAATGGTCATGTTTTTTTTTTCGAGATTTCGCCATAAGTTGAATAAACACGATCCCACAGGAATATGTTACATGATTTTAATACTCAGTGCGAATCGACTAATTAAAATGTAGCAGTTAAAGTGACCGAGAAGAATCTGTCTCACTAAATATGAGAATAGAATGCATAGATGGTTTAGAATTAATTTGCAATCTAAGTCTTTGCTAAAATGTATTTATTTAAGTGCTTCGCATGTTTGCATTAACTATTAAATCGAAAATATCATTCATAGATTAACTTAAATTGTAACAATTATAAAGTCGCACGAAGTACTCGTTTAGTATTCAGTAAATATGAAATCTCAATTATCATAAAAGAAAGTTACTGTTTCATTGAGTAAAAATTACAGACAGTTCAAGAAAGAAATTTCCATTTTCGACAATGTCATTTACTCAAATTACAAACGTATTCTTTGTTAACTTTTAATGTTCGCACCTTGTGTCAGACAGGAACACTGGCTTCCTTAGCAGGACAAAAGAATCTCGCGTCATCGATGTATGCTACGTCTTCAAAACGCGTGTACAGAATCCATTTACGGTCACTCATTTGATTTCACCATGTCAGTATAAAGGACCGGGACAATATACTCTACACGTATCTAAAGACCCTACTGCTACTTCACGTGACATCGTTGGTATAGATATAGAATTAAGTTCAAAAGCAAAACAGGCTCTCCTAGAGTGAACGGGACAGTAAGAACTCGGAAAAATGAGAATACGTGACGTTACCTGTTCGCTTTCTCTGCCTTCTCTACCGCAGTTTGCAGCTTGAACAAAGTTAAAGATGAACTTTATGGGAAGCTATCCAGCCTCTTTCAAAAAGCTGAACGCTTCGATGTAGTGTTAGTGATAGGTGATTTTAATACTCAGGTAGGTAAACTAAACCCATGTGAATGGCATTTAGGCTGGTCTGACGGTGTTGCAACTTTGAACAGTTAATGTTGGCCGTCTCTTGCGACAGTGGACAACTGTTTAGACCTATCAAGCAAACGGGTCTTTATTGTTACTACACCCATGTTTTTGACATTCTTTATCTTCCTCATACCTCGTAAATGGATAATTTCTCAAACATTTGTTTTCATCTTACGCAACTGTGTTTTGATGATTGAAGTGATCTGTTTATATTTTCGACCAAAGGGTAAGCGGCGTAAACCAATGAATTATCACTTAGGCGTACGAGATAACATGATTAGTAAGAGTGACAATTTGTCGCAGAATTCGAAAAATCCCATTATTTTTTTGAAAGTAAACTTTTCATTAGACGTTTCAAATACCACCATTTCTGTTGATCTTAGAGCAAGGGGATAGGTGGTAAATCGAACATACTTCACATGATTAAAGATGTTATTCTGTTTCTTAAAGTTCACTTTTATTCATATACGCCCTTTTTAATAGTCTTCTTTTTTGCTCGCGCTCTTATCTGTATGAACCATTACTTCGCTATTGAAAACCTAAAGTTGGTAGTGAGTTACATCAACATTAAAAATGAATTATATCAAGCTCTATATCAACAACTGGCATAGTCGGAAGTGCGATTTAACGACAAATAACTCATCGCAATGTTACCGAAAATGAGTTTTACCGGTCCATAGAATTTCCAAGCAAAAGAATAATCGTTCTACACACAATCTTAAAATATTGGACATTACTCCGTAAAATAAGTATAAGTTGTCTGGTTACCTCTTCACAGTATTCACAAATAACTTGTTTACTTGCAAAAATCTGCTGCAATATCCACACATAAATTTGACTTAGTGTAAGAGGATTAAGTCTCTAATTTTTGACTGGAATGAACTGTCCGTACAGATGGTTCTAAAAAGAGACTGATATGGAGTAACGTATTGCTGTTGTAAGCTATAATAAAATACGATGGAAGATTTTGCTTTTCTAAGCACATGGGAGAAACATTTTGAGCATGAATATTTCGAATACATAGTGGTAAACGTATATTGGACTGTGTTCTTTTGGATATCATTTACTGTTCAATCAGTGACTAAATTCTCAGATCACATGATTATTTTGCACCAACCTTACTGATAGAACGGAGGCCTTAGGACGTAAAATTCTAGCTACACTGAACTTTCATCGATACTCGAAAATAAATAAGAAGGTTATGACTCAAAAGCTCTCGAACGTTAATATATAAGTACGAATATTTTCCAAAATGCTTAATAATGAAAATGAAACAGGTAAGAAGGAGTTAGCTCAAAAAGTGAGATGCACTCTGATACGTGTTGCAAAAAACTCAAGTTATTTCCAAATTAAATTACACGATTCACCATGTGTACGATAGTGAGAACATAGCTACATACATGTATTGTATGAAGATGATTGATTATGTGGTCTGTCATAGTTTTACTTTTCTACGGCACAGAAAACAGTTTTACTTACCTTAATGAATGAGTTTATTTCCGTGCAATCTTAGAACTACACTGGATAATCCTCAGAATGATAAACTTTATCACTCCACTAGCATTGATACGCACACTACATTTTCTACTACACCACATCGTTTATTTGTAAAACCATGTTGTTTTTTAAGTCGATTTATGAAATTGGAGGTAAAGCTATACTAAGGACGACGCACATACAACAGAACTAAAAGAACGGTTTCGGCTAATTTATAGCTCATTACTAAATACACAAGGAATGTTGGGATCAACATTTCAACATATAGGTAAAGTTCCCATAAAGGAGTGCAGAGAAAATATTCGGTAAGTAGTCACTACAGACGAGATACGTTTTTTTCTTTTCTCCCAGTAAGCACTAAATTGAAGTCAATGAAATTGACCATGAAGATTCAACATTGTTTGAACAAACTTACTTTCCATCTATGATGAGCACATTTATTTTTCCGTTAAGTCGTGCTCCAGATGTATTCACTTTCTATTGTTCACGTCCATTATTGAAATGTAACTTTATGAATAGTATGTATATGAGGAACAAGGTTTAAGGAGAGTTATTATCCCTGTAAGTTTATTGAGAAAAATTTATAACAAGTTATGGATTTTAGTATCTGTAAATGGTAATAAGAATGCTTCTAAGAAAGACTTTGTAGCCTCCACTGTTTTCACATAAGAAACGAATGTCAAAAACCAAGCTAAAAAACATGACATCGCTCTTGAGGACATCCAAAGTAAACAAACAGAAAAAATGAATATATCTCGTTTTTCGCAAGATGGAACAAAACACAACGGAACAGTTGTTTTTACAGAAATGATCTTGTGCCAATTGCAGATACTTGGAAAGGAATCAAACATTAAATTCATTTAGTAGTTTTCATCCGTTGTGACATTTCTAATATTTGGATATTAGTGATTCCGATACTAACTATTCAGGTGCGTTTTTTCAAACTAACTTATGATAATTAGTCTATGAAAAATAAATTCAGCACGTAAGTTCATTTGCACTGAATTTTTTCTGTCATATAGTTACATACCTGTTCGTGCTTTTTCTCTGTCGTCCAAGAGAATCTGCGGTTAATAAAATTAAATTGCATTGCGATTAGTCAGAAAAACGAAATGGCACTCAAATCTTTTCTAGGAATTAGGTCCCTGTTGAACAATCTATCATCAAGCCGCAATCACAATCCATGAAGAAAAATTGTTACATTTGGTCAAATATTGACAAAACCACATCACATTTGGCTCACAAACTCGTTTATAAATTCAGCATTTAAAAATAGATAAAATGGTCTCCAATGATCTAGATTTTCAGAATCAAGACTAAATATGTATAACTTCTGATTTCCTACCGTAAACCATACGTATTCCAGATGTTTCATCATCCAATTACAACTTTAAATTTCATGGCTATGAATATGTGAGGAGAGATTTCTTGTGAAACTAAAACGAAGCTAAGTAATGATTTTCAATCATTCAAACAAATAACTTGCTCGTAGTTTGTAAGTTCTCCAAATGACGAAAATCCACAAACAAAATAATGGGCATTTCTCTTCAGTAAGCTAATTTCAACTGATTTATTACAGGCCTAAATCGATTGTTACATTTTCTCGTCATTACTATCATTAAAACATTAAAAATTTTGACAGATATTAAACGAAGAAAATAGATAATTTGGTTTATTGGATAGAGATAACTGTCAACTTCTTAAAATCTTATCCGTGATATTTCTCGATTAATCTAAGTAACGATGAGTAAATTAGGTCTACAGCATTTGTACTCCAGAAGTAGCCTAAATGATTATAATTTTCAATATAGTTCACAGAGATGATAGTTTTGTTAATCCTTTGTATAAGTAAATCTATGCTTTCGTTTGTACATAAATGATCATTTCCGCCATGATAAATGACTGTTGGAATGTTGAAGTTTTTCAGGGTGTATGAAGGAGGATCATCTTGACCATAAATATGTCTATTCATGTACTGTCCGTAGTCAAATTTCTGTAGCAGATGACTGTCAATCATCTACAAAAAAAATATCGGGAAAAAAAATTTCTCACTGTTTAATAAATTAGTTCATGGTATCTAAGAAACTATTTATTAAGTGGTTAAAGAAATATCGCTTCCCTATGCACCACAATATAAATAAGATACGCTCCGAAGACTAATATGATCCAATAGATTTTCTAAGGCTGATGTAATAAGGTATCTCTAATGAGTGCGTGAGTATAAATATCACTAACGCACCTATCTTAACTTGGTTTTATATGTCTATTTATTGAACTAAACATCGATTGAGTTAAACAATCAAATACATAGAGGAAGAAGAATACTCTGCTTACTCCATACAAAAAAATTAAGTGAAAGCCATGGATTATATGCGAAATTCTTAAGACGAGTCATAACACATCGGCCTTTACAAATCATTTACTGAAATGAATTCATTAAAGAAACACTATAGTATTTATAAAATAACAAAGAATGAATGAGAGTACCTTAGCTTGTAGTTACGGCAAATGTTCCAACTGGAGACTAGTTATGATATTTAACATAAAATTTGAAGAAACAGAGTAGCGTAACTTTTGTAAGAACCT